TGGACCACACGAGCCGGGCGAGAAGACCGAGGCAGATATCCGGGATCGGGTTTTGGTGGGGTGCATTCGGAATTTCGAGGGACTGCTGTGCAGGATGAGGCACGGGCTTTCGTTGGACATGCGCACATGTGCTGAGTGGAACTCGGTTGTGTGCATGTGGACCTTGCTTGCTTGATTTTGATCTTCAGTGTCAAAATGTGATATCATGGCCTAGCTTGACATGGGCCATAGACAATAGATCCTCCATGTCTGAGTTCTAGGATCTAGAGTTTTGAGCTTCAGCATCTTCACCACTTGTCCTCATTTCCTCGTGCTGCCATTGCGTTTGACTGGGTTGCTCGGAAACCTGGCCTATCGATTCTTTTGGTCTGAGAAATATTCCTGGAGCCGTGGAAAGCAGCAGCAAAGGAAGCACCGGCGATGAAGAGCATGAAGGGCATGAAGGCCGTGAAGGCCACGAAGGCGAAGAATGCCATGAAGGCGATGAAGGCAGTGATGAAGGCGATGAAGTCGCCCATGAAGGCGATGAAGTCGCCCATGAAGGCGATGAAGGCGATGAAGTCTATGAAGGCCATGACGAAAGCAATGAAGGCGGCTCCCAAGGCCAAGGCAAAGGCGGTCGAGGCGAGGAAGTCGCCCAGGGCCATGAAGGCAATGAAGGCGATACAGGCCACGAAGAAGCCGGCCATGAAGGCGACCAATGCGACAGCGCCGAGTGCCATGGAGGAGGAGGCCGGTGCCATGGAGTCGGACAAGGAGGAGGACGAGCTGCCTCGCTGGGTAAGGGATCCGTTTCAGTACGTCGACTACCAGGGCAACACCAGAATCGAGGTTAACCAGCTGGAGGGCGGACGCTGGGTGTGCACGGACGGCGTCAAGGTCACGAGCAGTGTGCAGGACATGCTCAGGCAGTTGTCGCACAGTGGCTGCGACCGGAGCCACTGGTACGAGCCAATCGCCGTGGCCGTGGTGGTGAGGAAGCACCGGCGAGCTGATGACGACCAGCCGAAGGACGATGACTCAGGGAAAGATGATGACCAGCCGAAGGACGATGACTCTGGGAAAGATGATGAACAGAAGAAGGACGATGACCCTGGCCAGAGCAGTGGCGAGAGCAGCGACAACACGGGCACGTCAAGCAGCCACTGGAACAGGCAAGGGTCGGCTGCCTCGAGTGCGATGGACGACTCCCAGGAACGGGAGCTCTGGGAGATGTGGCAGCAGGACATGAAGAGCACCGGCCTGTAGGTTCTTACATGTTCGCACACAGCTCACACACACAGCTCACACACACAGCTCACACACAGCAACACACACAGCACATCACAGCACAACACAGCAACACACACACAGCAACACACACAGCACAACACAGCAACGCACACACACAGCCACACATAGGCACAAGAACACACGTCAGCACAGCAGCACAGATGTTTCACACCCCGCCGATTGTGCTGCATATGGGTTATGGGTTATAGCACTAGGGTGGTATTAGTTTCATCCCTGTATCCTAGGCATAGGCCGGGTTGGGTTAGCATATGCGACTGCTAGGGGTGATGGGCACACGTAGCACATTCGGCCAGCAGCCTGTTGGGTGAGTGGAAATGTTGTCTGTGCGGCTGCCCTGGGTTTCCTTGTGGTTTCCCTAACTCCTCCAACCTCCCTAAGGCTACAGGGCACCTGAACCCATTGTGCTGGGTAGGAGTGCCTATCGGGGGCCTTGCATGCATTCGTTGAAGCTGCAAGCTGCCCACCCCGAGCCGTGCCCTTCCTTGCACCCTTGCTCTGATCAGGCCTCGGTGCAACCTACTTCGACTCCGGCCTGGATCTTGGACTTGGCATGCGCTTGGTCGTCCCGTGCTGTTCCTCTTGATGGGTGCTTCGCATGCCCTGATGCAGGTGATCCCTTCTTGCCCGGTACCGATGGCCTGGACCTTGGACTTCTTCGTTGGCCTCCTTGCCGTCGTTGTGTTGCTGCCTTCCTGATACGATTACGGCTTTGCGGCTTCACCAACCCCACCATAGGTCCTGCCTGATGCTGAGCAGCAGACTGGACCAGCCGAGCAGGTGGGGGTCAGTGGTGCTTCGTTCGACTGCATGCTTGACTTGGTGTGCTGCTGCCTTCAACTTCGGATCCACGTTGTTTCGGCCAGGAGACGACTTCTGTGGTAATCACTCAGGATGCCGGCGCCTTCGGATTTCGGATGGCGGGCATTTGCTTTGGGTCTTTGTGCCCGTCTAGTCTGCTGCTCAGGTGATGGCTTCGAGGACATTGGATGAGGCCTTGTTGCCGTTGCATTGTTGTCATGGTCCGTGGAGGGAAAGCTACACTTGCTTGCATTTCTTTGTGCTTCGCTTAGGTCCCTGCTACTGCCGAAGCCGAATCTCCTGCCACTGGGATCACCGGGGTGGCCTGGACCTTGATGTCGGCGCCACTTAACAATCGGGCATGGTTGTATGCATTCGCTAGGACTCTTCTGGTGCCGAGCTGGTTTCGGCTGCGAGGGTCTCGGGATGATATGCATAGTTTGGCATTTCTCGTGATGATCACTCAGGCGGCCGGAAGGAGTGATGACATTGCGGCGGTGACGAGAATTCCTGTGGAGGCCTGTGCTGTACTTAGGTGTTGTGTCGTGGCCGGCTTGCCCGATGAGGCACTGGAGCAGCCACTGCCAGTGGTTGTGGCCTCGGTGTATTCTTCCCCTGGGACCTGGGGCGGCTTTGCATTGAATTGCATGCCATTGCTTTCCTGGAAAACAAGGCTTCGAAACCTCCCGATCCACTTGCCTGGACCTTGGACGACCATGGACTGCTTCCGGTGGTGTGGGTCCTCCTGCTTGGGCCTGACTCGGTGCCTCCTTCAGGCTGGTGATGGGATGATCGAGGACATGCTCAACAAGGTCGGCCACACCCCCAGGTTTGTTGCTGTGCCCAGGATAGCTCCGTGGATGTGGCCACGAGCTTGGACAAGGAGCTGCTTTGGATTGCTTTCGAGTGGCTGCTCTGGCATCTCCAGACTCTAGGTTGCATGCACCTTACAGGAACAGGTTTCTGCATATAGCACGTTCTGGCTCGAGATGGCGACCCCACCTAGAAAGCATCGTCTGTGGGATGCAGCCTCACCTGTGAAGAAGAGGCGTGTGAAGGTGGCCCACCTCTCCGTGGACCTCTACATCCAGTGGGGACCGGTGGGACCTAGGTCGCCATCGTGCTCCTCTCCGTCGCCAAGTCCACAGAAGGAGTCGGAGAAGGACAAGCCAGATTTGGAGATCATGGAGAAGCAGTCAGCTACGACTCCAGGACCAGAGGAGCCGAGGCAGAGCACCGAGAAGAAGCCCAAGTATCCATGATGCGGTTCGTGCACTTTGCTGACCTTTGGTGATGGCCTTCGTATCTGGGAAGGGGTGTTATCCTAGAGACGTTCCTGGCCGAAAACCACGAAAGCGAAAAAGGTGGCAGAGCAAGTGGTTTGCATGAACTGCATGGTGCTGCACTGTACTGCCCTATCGTATTTTGTCAGGACACCCGAAGTGCTCCCCATGACGGAGGCCAGGGTTCCTTGGGTTTTTTCTTCACTTGGTGGTCGGCTTCCGATGTAGGCTTATCTTGGTCAGGAGCTGAGGCTTCTGCAGCTTCTGCACCGGTGCCTCGCGAGGTGGCTGTAGCAGCTTGTTGCACCAGTCGCACATGTTCAGACTCCATTTCATCACTGTGTCAGGGTCCTAGTGACCTGGCTTCTTGTGGGTCCATGCACTCGTCTGCTGTGTCAGGCCTTGGGGATAGCTTCGTCCGAGGAAGGACATCGTGCCATGGACACACTCGTCCCTGACTTAGTGGTTTGCCGAACGTGGGTTACGTAGTCCTCCGAAGCAGCGGTTCTTGTGTCCTTCTGCCAGGCATCGACTACGACGACTGCAGAAGCTCCTCCCGAAGAGGACAGTGCAACGGGAATAGGTGTGCTTTGAACCCACGACAGTGCTTGGCTGTTGCTTGGCAGGTGATGTCGTGCAAGGCAGAGTGCAAGGAGGGTGTGATGCCCACATGCCTGGCGGAGCTGGTGCGGGAGGTGCAGTGCGGCATATCTCTTCCTCATGTCAAAGCCGGTATGGAAGATGCTCCAGGGTTCTACTTGTGCCTTGCTGCCATGTTGATCTCGCCTCATGCGCACTTGATGATAACAAGCATGTGTGGGAGGGTCTATTGGATGGTATCTGAGGCGGCCATGGCCGCAGCAGCGCCCGCATTGGTTGGGCACCGTGGCGGAGCTGAGTGCTATCGCGAAGTGCTCCTTGGAAGTCTTTGCAGAGTTGGATGGGGCCGAGAAGAACCAGTTGGTGGAGCAGGATCCGGAAGCGTTTCTACTGCAGACGAAGTACGGCAAAGTGTCGGAACACTTCTGGATGCGAGACTGGCAGATGCTGCAGGATTCCGGGATTCTTCCGAGCAGTTCCTAGGCCAAATCCCAGAGTATGCCGAGACCCCCCCTGAAATACATTTCTCGGGCCCGGGGTAGTCCGGGGATCGTCGGGTACGTGGCTGTCCATAGTCTGGAATAGAAAGGCGAGTAGAGACTGGAATCTGGAATACCAGTCTGGTTGGAGCCGCCAGCCAAGCCCAAAGTATTCCGAGCCCCCCCCCCGGGATTCCGGGTACGTAGCTGTCCATACAAGGTCTGGAATAGAAAAGTGAGTTGTCTGGAACAGTGTTTGGAATTTAGATTACCAGTCTGGGTGGAGCCCCGAGCCCCGCAAGCCAAGCTCAAAGTATTCCGAGACCCCCCCACGAAATACATTTCCCGATAGTACCGGGAACCTCCGTGTACATGGCTGACAGTGTGGGTGTGCATAGTATACAGAGTGTGATTTGGAATTTAGAGTATCAGTCTCGGTGTATTGAATCTTTGGGAATCCCAGGCAAAGCCCAAAGTATTTCCAGACCCTCCCTTGAAATACATTACCGAAGTCGCCAGCACATGCTGTAGCAGCCGACAGGAGCACATGCCCGCTTTCCGCACCTACGAGCTGAACCAGTACTCCCCGTACCTGCGAGGTGCGGCGAACGTGGGCTGCACTCTGCATTGCCTGATCGTGTGCCGCTTGTGGCGGGAGTGCCGTCATCCGGGTTTCGTGGCCACATGGCTGAGCCAGAACAGGCAAGATGCACCGGCCTTGGCCGCCGCACTCTGTGAGGGTGGGCAGTTGATGTCGTCCTACATCAGTGTCGTGAAGTCTCGGCAGGAGCGGTCGCTAGGCACTGCTCTGGACTGCTTCACATTGCCTGACGAAATCCAAGCGAATGTCGCTGTGGAACCGCTGGCCTCTGACCACCAGTGGCTGCAAATGAGAGCTTTTCTCTCCTCTTCGAGATGGCATCCACTCAGTTTCGGCTGCACTCTGACATCGGCTTTGCGACTCGTGGTGGCGCATCGAATGTCTTTGACAGGCCAGGAGGCAGGCTACATTGTCGTCAGCCGTAGCAAAGCCTTTGCAATCCTAGCATGTGCCCATGACTGCTGTGGCTTCTTCTTGATCGACACACACGCGGCCAGTGCAGAGCACTCGGAGTGCAGCAGAGCAGCCATCTGTGCCGATGCTGACCAGATACTGCAGTTTCTGTGTCGTGGTCTCTATGGGGAGAACGACGATGCACACGTCTTCGCGGCCTCGTTCCCAGCCGTCCATCGGGGTGCCTGTGTATGCCAGCCGCCGGATCTGCAGTGTCTCAGCTCCGATCTTGTGTAGTGACTCATGTTCGTCTGCGCTGCCGACTAGATTGTGTGCTTGTGCCTCGGGCAGCATCTAAGGTGCCTGGAGACACTGCCGAATCCTCACAAGGCAGGTTCCTCCGTGGGCTCAGGCCTGAGCACCAAAGCCGAGCACGCACCTTCCAAGGGGCGTGACATGCAGCAGGCTTTCCCGGAGCAGGTGTTGGATCTGGTGACACCACCGAGCACCCCTGCAAAGAAGCGCCGCATGCCAGCAGCCGCGACTCCAGTCCAAACGAAGGTCACCATGAAGATTAAGGCTGAGAGCCGGAGCATGGGCGCAAGGGTGCCAGGTTCTTCGGAGACAACAGTTCCGGAGTGCCAGGTGCCAGATCAACTGCCGCTGCAGAGCAACCTCCCGTCGAATGACCCGTCTCCGGATGCTCTAGTCAAGCATGAGGGCGAGGACGAGGAGGACAGGCCTCTAGTACCTAGAGGCAAGATCAAGACGGAGGCCTTGGCATTGACGGAAGCACCGCAGGCTGTGAAGGCTTTGCCAGTGACGAGACTCCAGCAGAAAGAAGCTCGCAGAGAGCAGCAGCGAGGCAAGGACATCTGTGCCGCGGCGGGGTTCGACTTTCACAAACATTGGTTCCCACGACATGATTATGCCGCCAAGAGGGGTCACTGGCCCGACTTCCCAGCAGCTGTTGCAATGTCCGATGTAGCGGCGCTGCCCTGTGCTTTGTGCACGGAGCTGTCTGAAGAGTTCAATCTCATGAACGTGGAAGCATCCGCTGCGCCGAAGCAGTACAAGAGCAAGCCCTCCATGGCCGTCATGACACAGAGGTTGGCAGAGTTGAAAAAACAGGAGGGGCTCGAGGATGCCAAGCGGGGCCGCCGGCCTAAGAACCAAACTGAGACTCCGCTGTCCCATCGACTCTTTGATTGGATATCCGAGAAGCGCTGCAACATATACACCCGTGCAGCCCATCCTACCAAGCCCTTGATGTTCTGGTGCAGTCTTTGCAAGCAGGAGCTTGATGCAGTACGTCCATCATCCATATTTTGGATCCTGCAACACGAAAGCTACGATCAGCACTGGAGTTTGGCACATGAGGAAGCTCCGCACGTCTGTGAGGGCCTGCCGGTGCAGCCCGGAGGCGGAGCTGAAAGAATCTTCCGCTTACAGGCATCCTTCCGGTGCTGGGCAGAGCACGACATGCCATGGACAAGCAACAAAGGGCGCAAGCACGCCTGTCATTGTAAGGAGAAGATTCCCTACCTGCGATGCCTGGCTTGCTCCCAGGAGAAGAAGCTCCTTGATCCAGGAACGGGTCCTCAGCGAGCCTGCGGCGGTTGCCTTGCCTTGGCTAACGACAGCAAGTTCTGTGATTCCGTGGCCATGTGGGCCTTTATCTTCGACGTTGTTCACTTGCTCCATTCGGTGTACTCGGGTCTGAATGCGGAACGTCAGAAGGCATTGCGAAGCATTCGGGAAGCGGACTACGCTGAGTCCATCCAGCGGCAGTATGGTCTGGAGCTGGACAAACTGCCTGCCATGGACTTCCACTTGCTGCACGGCCTGGTTAGGAGGACCGTGGGCACTGTGGCCGTTACGCATCGCAACGAGGCTGCAGACAAGTACCTGCAGAGCCGATTCGCCTGGCTACCCGCCAGCTTGAGCAACAAGATGCCGAAAGAAACGGTTCAGCGAATGATTCATCGGCATGTGGACTACTTGGCAGGCGGGGACCCAACACCAGGCATGCGGGTGCCGCGTTTGATGGCGGAGCGCCTTGATCTGCAGGAGGTTTGCAAGACCCTCATCTCGTGTCTTGCCAATCGCATCGAGCTCCTGGGGAAGAACAAGACACGCCTGACCACGAGCAGGGTCCCCAACGTGCAGGACCGACAGTTTAGGCGTTAGGCCAGGTGTCGTTTTGTCCTTCCCCCTGTCCGCAGGATGCCCGACTCGCGGACGCCGGCTTCTTTTTGTCCTCTCTCTCAGGTACCCATGCCCTGCTGGAAGCATTCGGGCTGAACCCGAAGAAGATCGAGCGGTCGCCGATGAACTGTCCAAACCTCCCCCGTTTCTTCGAGGCGGAAACGACTGAGCCGGAGGCTTTGGGACAACGATGCACCATGTACCAGAATGCATTGGATGCTTTCCAGTTGCTTGGCATCAACAAGGGCGATCGCAACTTGGTGCTCACCTTCGATGAGACTGTGCTGTTCCCCGCTTATGCGCAATTCAGAGATCATCGGGGGGCTGTGTACATTGGTGGGGCGGACCTGAAGGCTCGCGTACCGATGGAGACGACGAAGCCCAGGGAGTTGAGCAAGTCCGACTTGGCTCAAACCACGCTCTTTTACTTACTGTTGCTTGGATCTGGAAGCACACATGTTAGAGTTTTCAGTCTGCGTGATCAGAATTCGGCTTCGTCTGGTTGTGTCGTGTGCTACATGCTGCCTTGCAGACTGAGGAAGAGGGCTGACACAGACAAGCGACCCGTGGCTATCCAATGCAGGCCGAGGCGACTGAAGAGTGTCACAGCCGAGGCAAACGTCCGCGAGGTGGGTCGCTTGCTTGAGATCATCACGGAAGCCAATGGCAACGTGCCGCCGCTTGCCATCAGCATGGACAACTTGGGATCCCAGCAGATTTTTCCCGAGCTCTATCTCGGCCTCAGACCCCTCAGCAGCTTCAGCGGTGTCCCGCGCTCCACCTGCATTATAAGTCTTGTATGCACACCGTGAGCCCTGCAGACAGCATGCATGCCACACTCCAGGTTCTTTCAGCACTGCAGCCTCACTCGCAGACTGGAGATTCCTCAGTACGAAGCCCGCTCACTCATCTTTTCCAGGGATGGCCAGGCGAAGCACGTGATCTTCTGCTGCAACGACCCGGCGCACACGGTCAAGAATCTGGCATGCAGCAGCAGGTCGAAGCATCGCACGTTGACGCAGTACGGCATGTTCCTCTCAAGGTGCGTCCAGCTAGCTGGTGGCATGCCCTTCGGGCCGTGGCAGGGCCGAGACAAGCAATCTGACAGGGAGTCAGCATGGCTCCTCAATCCGTCCTGTGTCCCAACCGAGACGTGGGATAGCATGCCCATGTGCCTCTGGCAGCTGCTCTGTTGCATGGTCGGTAGGTTGTTAAGCCAGGTATGTAGGCAACCGAGTCGGTCCGCGAAAGCTTTCGATCAACCGAGGTTCGAGGTCTTCATGCTTGCGAGCCCCTGGCTTTCCGCTCCCATGATGACCCCAGAAGAAGCCCTAGAAAACTCATTCTGCGGCTACTACAGTTTGCTGCTCAACGTGATGTGTGCACACACTGCCAACCCCAAGAAGTGGGAGACGCTGACGTATGCCAAGCCGACGACACGGCACGCCTTGTTCATGGCCTGTGCCATGATAGAAAGATGCATGCATCATCCAGAGGGCTGTCCGTGGGCTCCAAACAAGACCACGGAGCTCCCATGCGAGCATTATTTTGGGAGAATGAAATCGATGTGCGGCTCTCAGGTGCCGACCCTCAAGCTGAGCATTCTGGCCTGTCAAAGACTTCATTATCAGCACATGAAGGCAGGTGCTCCCGTGCCTCCGACGCAACGCTTCTGGGCTGGCAAAGGTCTGGGACCTGTCCAAGTCAAAGCCATTGCTGAGAAGGCCAAGCTCGCTGCCTGCACCTTGCAAGCTGCTGTGAACGTGGAGGCCAGCGTCGAGAGCGTCGTGGCTTCGCTCGAATCATGGTGGCGAGATCATGGGATGAGCTTGTTGCTTTCGACAGCAAGCACCCCGGGGCCGGTCGCGGCGGAGGATTCATCCGATTCTGAGCTCGAGGTCCTGGAAGATGATCCCCAGCTTCCGGACACAGACGGTGCAGAGACTGACAAGCTCAAGCAGGGCCTTGACATCCTGGAGAAGGAGGCGGCATTGCAGACCAGTCTGGAGGAGTGTCTGGAGGCTGAGCTGCAGGACGACATCCATGACAAGCTCGACTCGCCGGACCATGCAGCGGAGATCGATGAAGAGGATAGCCAGGTCCAAGTCATGGCTGCGAGTGCGACTGCCAGCAGTTCGGATGCCAAAGGCCCCAGGACCTTGTCTCAGATCCTCGCGGCCTGTGCCTGGACTGCGATGCCATTGAAGCCTACCTGTCTCATCTGTGTCTCGATTCCGTTTTTTCTCTAGACAGTGCTAGGGAAGCAACCATCCAAGGCCACCTCGAGAACTACAAGCCCCCGGACGCTGACAACGTCGCCCTGGCGGTAGAGCGTGCTCAACAGATGCAGCCCTTCATGGCCGCCTTGCTTACAGAAGCGAGGTCAGTGGAAGGCTTCCTTTCGCAAACCGTCTTGGGCAAGGAGGACAAGCCGCTGAACCCCCAGCAGGAGATACAAGCTGAGCTCGCAGCTGCGCGTCGCGATTGGCAGTTGTTGGGCTACAGGCAGTCTCGGACGGATCAGTGGTCCCAGTACGCGAAACTGGTGGCCCAAGAGGTTGACACTCTCTGCGGAGAGGCTGCCGCGGGAAACTTTACAGTGTTTCGGCCCTCCTGGGTCCGAGGCGCTGGCAACCAGAGGAACTATCAGTTCGTGGCGCTGCGGGAGCATGTCTGCGGAGAAGTGCTCATTGGGCTCATCGAGGAATGCTTCCGTGTGACAGCCCGCAAAAAGGGGCAGGGCCTCGAGACCAAGAAAATGGGGACGTGCAAGCCCTTCCCTGGGGAGTTGCCCGCAAACCTCGCCGGAGCCCTGCACATCCGCCTGCTGCATGCCTGCGGGAATGGCCACTACATCACCAGTGCATTGCACAAGAAGCTCAGCATCGAACCACATTCTGTGGACAAGGGACGACCGCAGCTCCTCTTCGAGATCCCGCCGAAAAGCATCCAGCTCAAAGAGACGAAAAGCTGTCTGGCCATCCGTCTCGACCCGTTGGGGCAGAAGAGCCTGCAGGCCGCTTCCGGCTGTGATGTTCAGTTGACGGGCGATGCGAGCAGCGAACCTGCAGCATTGGTGTACACTTCGGAGTGCTTCGAGAACACAAAGCAGGGGCAGCGCATGATCCAGAGCTATGTCCAGGAGATGAGCAAGATGTACCTCAAGGTGGCCGGAAAGCAGATCTGGGATGATCAGGGCCAAGTGAAGATTCGAAACAATGACAAGCTTCATAGTCCAGATTTGGCAGTCTGTGTTGTTGGCGGTTTCTTTTCGTGTCGCTAAAGCCTCAAGGTACCGTCTGTAAGCCTCGCGAGCCTTCCGAAAAAACCTGTCCCAGGATCCGCTGGATAGAAATCGTCGAGCGGGCGCCGGGCTACTTCAGTAAAAAATTCCTCACGAAGACCATCGCTGGCAAGGCGACTACAACTCTGAAGAATTTTTCGAGAAGCGTGTGGAGCGAGTTCGCCGCTGTGGCTCCGACGAAGACCCGCGGTTCTGCACCCTTCATTGCTTGGCTCCGAGAGCTTCATGACATCGCACCAGCATGCTTGCCGACACACGATACCGTTTAAAATGGTTCCCGTGGCTCAGAAGAGTGCTCAGAATGCTTGCCGACAGACGTCACCATTTAAGATGGTTTCCAAGGCTTTTTTTGTGCAGTGAAAATCACTGCCCAACGACGCCCTCGACTCTAGTTTCGAATGGACGGCGAAAACAAAGGGTGCCTGCGAGACTTTTGTGGAGCCGCCATGTGTAGAAGTGTATGAGAGCATGACATGCATGTCTACTTCGGAAGCTTGAAACCCAGACCCTCCCGAACCCTTGCGAAATACATTTCTTCTGCTCGGTGTCCCCACAAGGGATTAATGTATTGCGCGAGGGGGGGCCTCCAAAAAAGCAGTTGGACCCGGGTGTCGCGGCGGCACTCGGTGGCTCGGCGTCGGCGGCGTCGGGGCGGAGCAAACGCAGCAACGGAGTTTCGGCGGCGGCGCTCACGGAGCGCGGGGTTTCGCTTCCGCTCTATACGGCCGCTTCAACGCAGCGGCCTCAGCGGCCCTCGGAGCGCCCGAAGTCGAAGCGGCGACGTAGGCTGCTCTTACTGATCTGCTGCTCAGTGCAGGGCTGCTACCGCCGCCGCGCATGCAAGCGCTAGGGGACCACGGGCTCGTCTCTGAAAGCCAGGCTGACTCGCACCGATGTCAGGTCGCATGCCTCCTCGGAGAATGAAACGAGCCTGAGTCCTGAGCGATTCCATTCCGGGATCTGTCCGGAAATCTTGCTAGTCTTGCACGCTTCTCTTGCACATTGCGGAGGTGTGCCTCCCGAAGTCTGTCGGCGCATTTCCCGGCCTCACAGATCTTCAGAGAAATTTGCTAAAAGCATGTCTCGAAGAGAGTCGAGCCAGCTATGGGGAACCTGGGCACTCATGTGCGTCTCGTGACAACTGGTGGGGTATGGTGGGTATAGTGCAGCTGGATCGTGAACGTGTGATGCTGAGACGGTGAAGCCTGCAGACTGCAACTTTTCCCTTCTGCAGGGATGGATGCGCGTTAGTGCACTTCTGCAGAACTGCGCCTGATCGCAAAAGGCACTGCATTTCGGACATGGTCGTGAAACCAAGGCGCCGACTGCGGCAGCACGGTCGTGCAGCCCGAGCCCCGACAGCCATTTGCAGAGCGGCATAGTCGCTTCTGACATGCTCGGCTGCCGGAGCTTCTAAAGGCTTGCGACGCTCTTGCCAAGCCGCCAAGCCTCTTGCCAAGCTTTGATTAGCTTCCCGACACATGTTGCAAGGCATCATAATGCAGGGGACCGTGGGTGAGTTGCCGAAGTTGCAGTGCTATGGCAAGCGCCGCCCAAGGGAGATCAGTGATGCCGCGAAGTCTGGCGATGGAACCACGACCAACGCCCTGCCCCTCAGAGACTTAGAGCTTGCTAGGACAAGCGTTGGGCAGCTGCGCAATGGGGGCGGGTTGCAGGTTGGCATCAAGATGACAGGCACCTTCCAATGTTCATGGGCTCAAAGGACACATCGACGCGCACGAGCTTGAGAGAAAGAATCGATGCAAAGTGGTGAGGTCCAGAGTGCCGACAGAAGCTTGACTCCGAGAAGGCCACTTAGTGCAAGTCTTGCAGAGCACTATCGTCAGTCGTGATAGCCCCTTGACAGCTCGATTGAATGGCAACGGCATGCAACGGCCAGGCGAAGCAGCTGCACTGGAAGTTCATCCATGATCCGAACAGGCTCCAGCATGCTCCAGCATCGTACGTGGATGACTCGCCGCTCCTAAGAGAAAAAGATCTTATCATCGGCTGACATGATGCAGGCATCAGGAGGACTGAGAGGGTCCCTGAGCCGCTCCGACAGGACCCTTGAAGCTGTCGAAGTCTTGGCTTCCGGTTTCGCTTTTTAAGGATGTTCTACTGGCACATACACTCGTTCGGTATGGCTCCTCGCTCTTGAATCAAGTTGCTGCGAATCATCCGTTGATGGTCGGACACTTATTGTGTCGACTTCGCTGCACTCGAGAGCGGAAGCGACCCGTCAAAAATTGAGTGTTCCGGATGTTATCCTCAGTGCGGCCTGCAGCCACGACGGCAGCAGGAGCATGTTTGTGTAATAAGTGTAGCTGGGGCGAAGCACAAGGGAGAACATGCCTACAGCCAAGAAGCTCATGCTGATTTTGGAGAATCAGCAAGATTCGCGCAGTCTTGAGGCAGTTCACGGAAAAGCCGTGTTCATGCATTGCAGAATCTTGCTGTTACCTTTCATTCACGTAATCACATGTTGAAATCACTGCAGACTCGGATGGCGAAAGCGGCCTCCGTCTACTCGTATGAAATCAATGTGGAAGTTCGCTCCAGAGCATCCTCTGGTACACACGGCAAACTGAGGGAACGCCGTCGTGAATCACGCCTGACAGAATGTGTCGGCAGGTCTCGAATCAACTTTAGTTCATCCGAGGTTTATCGGCTTAGCCCCATCGCCGTTAACCCTCCGGTTCGCTTCTGGGAAGCGAGTTGTACAAATAGGATTCAACTTGACGACCCAAGGAGCATTGAGCTGAGGCTTCCAAGAGTGTATAAACGAATACTCAGTGGCTGGAGCTTGCTGAAGATTATCAAAGCACTGTAGTGGAATAATGATCGCATCAAATATGCCTCCGCGAGAGCGGAGGTAATGAATCATACGTTCAGCATTGCAAAATTCTCCTCGCTGCAACAATTCGTACTTACGTAGTCGGGCATCTTGACGAGAGTGAACAGAGACTGTCGTAGAGCCAACATAGCATCGCTTACGTTGCAATAAGGCACCACAGCGATAGTCCCATCCACGTTTTTTCGCAAGCGGCATGATCATCGCGTAAACTGCATTACCAGATTGAAATAGATCGGAGAAATCTTGAAGACTCAATCCTCGTAAATTGTGTAGTCTTCGCTGCCATGTTCGGATGTGCAATGCTTGAGAACAGCTTTTGAAAATACTTCGCAAGAATATAAGATGCTGCCAGCGCTCGAACAGGTATGCGAAGTGAAACATTTTCTTTCATGTCAAAGCAGAAATGTAACAAGATCATTAAACCAGAAAGAAGAACCGCAGAGTTGTCCTCATACAAAGCGTCCGATGCTGACCCGAGTCGTCACTGATTGCTGTGGCTGCAAGCAGATTTGTGACAAGTTCTGGGCCCTTAATCTTTATGGCCAGTGCTACGGTGCATCCCAAGTGCGACCGCTTGTCGCGCAAAAGTTCAAGGTGTTCTTTGGGAAGACCTTTGAAGATTTCAAGAGCATCTGCAATAGCTTTCAAAAGGTCTTGGTGGTGTTTTTCTTCACCAAGTGTCTTCTTAAGGGTCTTGATCCAATTGTTGATGGCCTGCTTTGTGTGGCCAGTCAAATTTTGGCTGAGCAACACACGATCGCCGAGGTGCTGTGGGTTGACAGCACGACAGCACGATCAACCATGTCTTCTTTCATGACAAAAGGCAAACGAGCTTCTTGCTTTCCATCCAAGCGGCGACGTTTGGCAGGCTGAGAACTCTCGGCACTCTTGCTGTTACGAGTTGTCTCAGCTTCCAACTGAGCTCGCAAGGATTCGATCTCTTGCTTGTCAGGATTTGAAGACGAGGACATGTTTGAAGCAAAGGGCTCAACCTGTTCAATCAGGAACTTTGCCATCAGCACGATTCCATTGAGGTTCACGTTGCTGCCATGATGATGAAGTAGACCAACATGAAGACTGATGAGACATGGTGAGCGGGCAAAGGGAGGGAGCGCAAGAAGTGATGGGACTCAAATGGCTGCATGCAAAAGTCAGTGACGACTCAGAATGAGAAGTTCTTGTGGATGCAAGGACATGCAAAGGCTTGTTTTGGCTTCTGCCGCAACAGGTTGAATAATTAGTCTACAGGCTCGATGGATTGCTACGAGATCTGGAGTGGGAGCAGGTTCGAAGAATGCTTTAGGGTGCTGCATCCTCACCGGCCTTTGCACAAAAAGCGTCTACCGAATTCACTCCGCTAGGTCGAGGATCATTGGGGGGCTTCTTCGGTGGAGGAGGTGGCGACGGTGGTGGTGTCACAAAAGTAGCCACATTCGGTCTCCACATAATACTACTTCTCGGAGTTCTGTATGGTGTGGTTGAAGGGTTTCGAGGTCTCAGAATCACAGACTCTTTGACGGAAGTCTTTAGCTTGGCGGGGTGGATCACCGCGAGCAATGCTGTGTGCATGTGCAGCCACACGATCCTGAAGTTGATCTAAGAACAACGTTCTCACCGAACGGTTGGTGAGAATTCCGAAGAGCACCGTCGAATGCCGAGGTGTTAAGCTGCCGAAAAGGTCACCCATCTCATCTGGTTGATCACCGTCACGACGACGCTTGGACGCTAAATCACACACAGAAACCTCAGAGTCGACATGTAGTTGCAATAGTACAGTGCTCAACAGTCAGAGCACTTGCAGAAAATGTTTTGCCGCAGGGGATTTCAGCAGAAAGTATTACTGTGCAGGGTCTACAGAATCCTTATCCATAACAACCGTACGTGCAGGCTCAAGCGAAAGCAGCTCACTCCAATCTTGTCCCCATTGTTCATCACTGTCGTTGGATTCTCAAATGGGGGAAAGAAGATAAAACCTGGAGACCTTGGCGCTGGATTCTCTGATTGCCCAATTGCGAGTACCTGGTGATGATTTCACTCGCTGCATTCGATTCTTTCCGCATTTAGTACAACGCCCTGCTCCTACTGACGTATTTTCTTGGGATGTCCAACATGCTGTTCTTATAAGTTTCTGTCAAGCCACTGTCACAGTCAAGCTTCCTTATGAGCAGATGTTTACCAAGCCCGGAAAAGCCTGGTTGCACAACAACATCATTATGTGGCAGATTGATACAGACAAGTTCCCAGGCCCCGTTTCGTCTGCATTAGGAACTGGTCAAAGCACTTACAGATAGTGGCATGGATGCAATGAAGCTTTTCTGTTGGGTATCTTCAAAAGCGGCCGAGTTTTCCGAACCTGCAATGAAACTGTCGGAGTCAAGCCTTCTGACACTGCTTTTGGATTCTTTGGTCGAG